TTTTGTTTTAAACACACAAATAGATGTAGCTGGACGTGGAGGGGCGGTGAGGGGAGGGCGCGGAGCGGGAAGAACAGGAAGCTACTGCCTGAATCAATATTGTCTTTTGAGATCTCAGTAATAGTTATTCTTTTCTAATTTTTCATCATATATGTGTAGATGGTGTTTCCAATTACTATATGAACACTATAGGGTTTTTAAAAACTCCTATCAGGCAATAGTACTGAAAGGAAAAATAACGGTAAACATGGGGGTTTGAGGGTTTGCCAGGAGGCTTATTTCTCTGTTTTCGTGGGCACTAGGAACATGATCTAGTATGACAGGAACTTCAGTGTTGAACCTCAATTTTAAAAGAACTTTAAATACAGTTATTCATTATTTCATTTCAACACTGGATTAGGCCAACTAGTAAGTGTAAAAGAGCCAGTCAGAAGCATCAGCAAATACAATTCAATTAATTTAAAAAACCCAGAAACTTTAAACGCTTGGCCCACTGAAAGTTAAATGGAATGTCTAGGCTCATATTTATATGACATAGTCTAGGGTGCTGTTTTAGTCTGTTCCTCCTTCTATAACAAAATTCCTTAGATTGGGTAATGTATAAACAACCGAAATTGATTTCTCATAGTTCTGGAGGTTGGGAAGTCCAAAATCAAGGCACTGTCAGTTTCAGTGTCTGGTGAGAGTTCACGGTCTGCTCTCAGGACAGTGCCTTGTTGCGTCCTCACACGGCAGAAGGCAGAATGGCAAAAGGGTGAGCTGTCTCCCTCTAACCCTTTCCTAAGGGCACAGATCCCATCCTTAAGAGCAGAGCCCTCGTGGTCCAGTCACTCCCTGGGGCTCCACCTCTTAATACCATCACCTTAGGGGGTAAAGTTTCAACATGTGAACTTTGGAGGGACACACACTCTAAGCATAGCAGCTACTGTGTCAGGACTAGGACTCAGCATAGAGTTGTACTCATGGGCAACAGTTATTATAGCAAAGGAATACACAACAAGATTAGCAACAACAACAAAGGCACAGGTGGAATCCGAAGAAACCCACGCCCAGGCTTACGTTCTCTCCCTTCCATGAGGAAATACACAGCGCATCCGCCTGTCTCCAGTGGTGAAGAGTGCAGGGACCTGTGCGCAGTTTCTGTCCCTGAGGAAGCCCAGGAGAGAGGTTTTTGTTGGGGGCAAGTCGTGTGGGCGTCCTCTGCCTCACAGCTACCACAATGACAGAATCCCACAAGGAAAGCAGATACTCACCACAGATCACATTGTTTGTGCAGCAGTTGAAACACAGCAAAACCAGTCTTACCAGTTAGGGGATGGAAGTGCCAAGTTCCTGATGTCGGCCAAATGCCAGCCTTGCCAGCATGCCCTTATAAAGATGGCAGCCTCGGGCCTGCCGTGTTCACTGTTTTCTGCATAGGTACACAACCCACATGACACTAACATACTTAAAACACATTTCACAGCAGTAGTGTGTTTTTGGAGATGGGGTCTCGCTCTGTCACCCAGGCTGGAGTGCAGTGGCACAATCATAGCTCACTGCAGCCTCAAACTCCTGGGCCCAAAGGATCGTCCCACCTCAGCCTCCTGAGTAGCTGGGACTGTAGGTGTGCACCACCACACCTGGCTAATTTTTTTATTTTTAATTTTTTTGGAAGGACAAGGCCTCACTATGTTGCCCTGCCTTGTCTTGAACTTGTGGCCTCAAGTGATCCTCCCACCTTGATCTCCCAAAGTTCTGGGACTACAGGAATGAACCACCACACCCAGCCTGAATACAATTAGAGGGTTCAGAGCACAAAGTTTAAATGCAAAGTTGCCTATAAAAGATGTAATATACATACTTCAAAACACAACTACTGAGGTGGAAGTATAACAAATGATGAGGGAAGAATGATCTTTTCAACAAACAGGCACTGGGCAAATGGATATCCACACGCAAAAGAATTAATTTGGACCTTTCCCTCATACACAGAATGAACTCAATGGATCAAAGACCTAAATGTAAGAGTAAATATAAGACTCTTAGAAGAAAACACAGGGGTTAACCTTTGTGACCTTGGATTAGGCAATGGTTTTTTTTTAGATGTGACACCTAAAACACAGGCAAGAAAAGAAAAAATAGAAAAACTGGACTGTATTAAAAATAAAAAGGTTTTCAGATCAAAAGAAACTATTAAAGAAAAAAATCCACACATTGGGAAAAAATTATAAATTATACATCTGGTATGAGACTAGTATGTAGAATATATAAAGAACTATTATAACCCAACTGGAAAATGGGCGAAGGCTTTGAATAGACATTTACAAATGCAGATGCAAAATGGGTAAGAAGCACAGGAAAAGATGCTCAACATGATTTTTCATTAGAGAAATGCAAATCAAAACAACAATGAGATGGCACTTCACATCCACTCAGATGGCGATAATAAAGATGGGCAACAAGAGCGTCGGTGAGGATGCAGAACCTTATACATTGTTGACAGGGATGTGAAATGGTACAGCCCCTTTGAAATACACACTGGCATTTTCCCAAAATGTCAAACATATAATTACCATACGACCCAGCAATTCCACTCCTAGGTACATACCCAAGAGAATTGAAAACATACATCCTCACAAAAACTAGTACACAGATGTTTGTTGCAGCATTATTCATAACAGACCAAAGCTGGAAACAATCCAAGTGCTTATCAACTGGTGAACAGATTTTTTTTAAATGTGGTATATCCATATAATGAAATGGTAATCATCCATAAAAGGAATGAAATATTGATACATGCAACAAAGGACATGAATCTTGTAAACATTATGCTAAGTGAAAGAAGCCAGACATAAAAGACCACGTGTTCTATGATTCCGTTTATATAGAATATCCAAAATAGGCAAATCCGTAGAGACAGAAAGTGGATTAGCGCGTGCCAGGAATCGAAGGGATGAGGAGAATGGGGAGTGGCTGCCGATGCTACAGGGCTTCTTCTGGATGATGAAAAGGTTTTGGAATTCCATAGTGGTAATGGTTGCACAACTTTGTAATTACGTTAAAAACCTCTGAATTGTACATTTCAAAAGGGTGAATTTTATACTATGTGAATTATATCTCAATTTGTAAAAAGTGTAACAAGTGGATTAACATAAATGTTAATTCAGGAAATCAGAAGTATAAAGATGCAGGATGAGCCATACAATAATTTCCTTACATTCTTCTGAAGAACAGACTGAAGCCCCCCAAAACAGCAGTAGTTTCCTGTCCCTCTTTGGAAATAGCCAGGACTCTTCAGCCTGAATTAGAGGCTGTCTCATACTTGTCACAGTCAGGACAACTGAAAACTTTTTACTAGGACTCCTGATAAGTCAGCCTAATTGAATGGATGCTTTATATTCAGAATTCAAATGAACCAAGCAGTCTTCGCATAAATTACTCAAACTACCAGAAATCTAAACCAGCAATTAATTTAAAAAGGGATTTTGTGCCCAATCACTTGGAAACTATTTGGCAGTATCTACAAAAGCTGACTATGCATACTCATTGATCCAGTAACTACTACTACAATGTTTATCCCCAACAAAAATATGTACAAATTTTCAGGAAAAAGCAGGCACAAGAATGTTCCTAATAGTCCAAAACAGAAGCTACCCAAAGTCTATCAAGTAGAAAAACTTCTTTTAAGCTACAGCAACAAAAACCATGTGCAGTCTTCTAACCACAAAAGGCAACATGAGTTTAAACAAGGTAAGGTATTGTTTTCTGCTTTGTTTCATTTCTGATGCCCTTCCTGAATATGTCCAGTTTTTCCTTAGCCTTTTTGGAGAAGTAGCATATTGAGTTAATGTCTTCGGTGAAAATAAAACTTCCATATTCAATCTCTCAGTCATAAATGAGTGCTATCTGCATCATCCCTTCTTAATACCTTACCTAATATTGCTTCCCCCTAAGTAAAGCTCATTGGGAAATTTTATATTCACTAAAGGCAGCCATAAGATTTGGGGAATTATATAATCAAGAATTGTATATATCTAAAAAGGAACATTATAAAATCCTCTAATTCAGACCACCTATAGTACAAACTAAAGATGAGGAAATTGACTCTTAAAAAGATTAAATGACTCTTCCAAAATCACAAAGATAATTCAGTTGAGTTTTTTCCTCTACTAAATGTTCCTTTTTTCTGCATTTCATTCTCACTTAAGCAACTTATTGTCTCAAAGAGCATCATGTAATGATATAAAACGCAGCTTTCCAATCACACTAAGGGTCTCTTGATGTCTTCTCTTGACCACCAATCAGGAACCTTTGCTGGAAGCTTGTTTCTGATTGGTGAAGGTAAGCCGTAACAGTGGAATGCCAAGGAGTAAACACAAAAGCGTAGCAACAACTGAGTTTGCTGTCTCACTACCCTCAGCCTAGGCCAACCTGGACTCCTTCACCCCAAATGAGGTGACCTCTACATTTTATATGAAGACACTGATTTACCATTCAACTGTGATCCATCTTATAACATGGCAATCCGATACAGACAGGAAGATAAAACTGAACACAGCTAAAATAAAGTGTATTCCCAGGTAAAATAGACACGTGCTTTAATTTGAAATGGATTCGTCCGATGAGTGTCAGTTACAAGGGCACAGAAGGTACCGGTGCAGAAGAGCTGTCTCTGTGGGCAGTGTCACAGGTCCCCTAAGGGGCAATGCTTGTGCTGGGCGACATGACCCATCTTAATGTATAAACCCATAGCCAGACAGGACGTGCAAACGGGTCTCATGGTGAATGCCATGCTGTGGAAGATGACACGGAGAATGGCTGTCTCTCAGCTGGGGAGGGTCTTGGTGTCCTAGGAAAGAATGTTCACGTCCTAGAGTCGGTGGTTGGTGTTCTATCTAGGCGATGAGGGAAGGATGCTTTTCATAATGAGCGCCTGGTGGGAATAGAGTCTGTTTTTGCACTTTGCTGGAGGAAGACGTTTCTACCACCTTATTTTTTGTTCTTGCTTACAGAATACACATTGTGGAAAAAGGATGAAGTTGACCAGTGAAAAGTTGCCCAAGAACCCCTTTTATGCCTCCATATCTCAATATGCTGCTAAAAACCAAAAATCCTTCCAATGGAAAAAGGAAAAGACTGGTACGAATCCTAATATTTAAGCTTCCCTTGGAAAATACTTTCACTAACAGTTCATTTTGTATGCTAGAGCAAATGAGACAAGAAAGACTGTGTTTGATTTCAAGGAAGTAGTTAATCATTACAGTCCTTTTGAGTTTTCCCACAAGAATCTGTGAAATTGCTCATTTATCTGGTAGCAAATCGTCAGTGAGGTCTCACAGATAGTTAGGTCTTGAGTTTACTCTCAGGACTTAAGGACGTGCTTCTAGAAAACACAAGCCAGATGTCATGTTTGTTAAAGAGAACAATGCCATGCTTTACTTGCAGTTATTATTTAAATACCTGATTTCCCCTATAGCCTTAAAAATATTATATTAGGGGTGGGATGCTCATTTGGTTAGAGGAGCTCTCATTAAGGCTCAAATTAAGAATTTAACTCACCTCTCCAGACGGCTTTGCCCATTGAAGACAAACCAATGCATAGACTTATACCGAGCCCTGCACTGCTACGGCTCTACTTGGCCATGAGCAGGGTTAGTGCGAAACCCATCCACAAGTATTGCTTTTTTTGTTTTTGTTTTTGAGATGGAGTTTTGCTCTTGTTGCCCAGGCTTGAGTGCAGGGATGCGATCTTGGCTCACCGCAGCCTTCGCCTGCCTGAGTCTCCCGAGTAGCTGGGATTACAGGCATGCACCACCACACCCCCCAATTTTGTAGTTTTGGTAGCGTCGGGGTTTCTCCACGTTGGTCAGACTGGTCTTGAACTCCCAACCTCAGGTGATCTGCCCGCCTTGGCCTCCCAGAGTGCTGAGATTTACAGGCGTGAGCCACCGCGCCCGGCCCGTATTGCTTCATTATACAAGGCACAGTGTTAGGTACTGTGACCATGCCCTTTTTTCAGGTAATATTTCTTCCTTGCACTAAGGAGGCCAGCTGTAGGAATGAGTACTAGAAAGAAATATTGTCAACAGTGTTAGATGGATTTTACATGATTCATTACTTCAGGAGAGAAAATTCCTATTATGCGGTTAATGGAATTCCTTACCTTTTAAACATCAGATCATTACAGCCATGCTAATTTGGTGGATAAGGCATTGCAGCTCTTGAAGAAAAGAATACTGAAAGGAGACACTCTGGCATATTTCCTGAGAGGTCAACTATATTTTGAAGAGGTATCATTTTTTGTTTATTTGTTTTCATTTCCTATAATTCTGTTGTTAGATCCTGAGACAAAAATTTCACGTAGAGTTTCTTACTGTGTTATGCTAGGGAAATTCTGTCCAATTACATAGACTATGGCTGTGGCTTTAACAGTGGGATACAGTGCTGCTAGCTTGAGGAGTTACCTGACCTTTCTTCATAAAATCCATGTCATGAAAGCCATTTATGGGAGTCATTTTAGTATAAAATCCATTTCACACTATAGATTAAAAATCAAATTTTTATATATTTGCTCAAAATATTTAATAATACAAATTATATTATCAGGCTGGGTGCGGTGGCTCACACCTGTAATCCCAGCGCTTTGGGAGGCCGAGGCAGGTGGATCACCTGAGGTCAGGAGTTGGGAGACCAGCCTCTCCAACATAGCTAAACCCCGCCTCTACTAAAAATAAAAAAGAAATAGCCAGGCATGGTGGTGCACATCTGTAATCCCAGCTACTTGGGAGACTGAGGCAGAGAATTGCTTGAACCCAGGAGGCAGAGGTTGCAGTGAGCCGAGATTGTGCCACTGCACTCCAGCCTGGGTGACAGAATGAGACTCCCTCTCAAAAAAAAAAATTATATTATCAGATATCTTCATGTTAATAATTGAAGCCCTGATTTTTATCTAGTACTTAGAGGCGGCTTTAGTTGTCCCTGGACAGCATAGGAGGAAATCGCCCTCGTTCTCCACATCTTGTTGGG